TCTCTCTGTCTCTCTCTCTCTCTCTCTCTCTCGTGCTAATATTCGAAATGAGGTTAACAACACAGAGCAGTTCTACAAACAGTTTCTCGCTTCAACTTCCAGTCGTGGATAAGAGCACAGGTGTTCTGTACGACAGTTTTGAGACGCATCTCTGCTATGCCACTGACAAATGTGTGCCTGTGACATTCAGGATGGGCCTGTTGGGCGTCATCAGTCCTATGGTAACTAAGAAACAGCTGATATAGGTCATCTTAAAAGCGGAGCTAAGTTTGGTTTCGCCTTGTCCACTGTCACGTCTCCCTTGTACTACTGTGAAGCTAATCCCTTAAATGCTGGTACTGGTACCGAAGGCTTTTCTGTTGTGTTCCAGGAAAACAACCAACGAATCATAAACTTTGAACTTTCTCGAAACGCAAAAGTTATTGACACGCGCATCCAGATGCAATGCAATTTCAAGGGAGGCTGGACTTGTGAGCATTCGGAATGTGACCATGGCATGAACTGCGGAATGGACAGTGTCTGTACGCCACTTATGTCAAGGATTCCGTCCATCGGTATTCTCCTACGATGACGGACAGAGATGTTGGTGACCTCTTCAGGTACTTTCGCTGCTTTTTTATCATCTGTCTAGTGTCTCCGAACGATGTACCTACGGAAGTTCTAGTTCTAGGCCTGAGAAAGCACCAACAATTCACGATGGACTTACTAGTCTCCAGCTTAGTGAAAGATTATGTCTCCAAGCAGAGGATCTGGCCACAATCTATAATTTAATACCTTCTGGGCTACACGAGTGATGGAAAATCCTCACTGAGACGAGACAGCAAGAGAGACACAGAACCCGAGCATCCTCAGGCCGGAGTGAAAAACTGGTCAGACGCTCGCTCTAACCCTCACCCGGCGCGTCCCGACACAACTTACGATACAAAGAGAAGGCTCTGCGTCCAGTTGTCTACCACAGCCATTGACCTCTACGAGAAATGTCCTGGCGAGCTCCGCACTTTGGAAGAACACATGCCAGACGCCAGGGGCGGCTCGTGGGGCTAAAAAGTGGACGTGCACAATTAAGCTATCGCATGCTGAAGATAGTCAAGGGCATAGGCCTAATAAATGAGACGGTGTATAATTTTAGGGTCTTTGGCTTGGAGAGGGAGAACCTCGTGTTTTTACTTTCATTCTTTTTACTTGTCGCTTTGATTTCTAGTACTAAATTTGTTTGTTAGCTAAACATCAATTTCGTTCTTCCTGTATTGGAACTGAACACTCAATAACTTTCACTGCTCCACTACAAAACATTTGAAAGACACAATTCATAGGACGGTCACGTTCACCTCCCTCAGGTTCACGATCACGGAGTCACTTAAAATAGTGGCAAGACAGACAATGAACCAATCACAATTCACTTGAGTACTCCGCTGAATTGCTCCGGGGCTCACATAATATTGGCAAAGAATAGCGTACGGTCTTTCGCGTTTACTTTTAGACTGCCTACTGTAGCTAAATTTCGGCACTCTTCGGCAGGAGCACATTTGAGATGTGCCGTTTTTATTAATATCAATGTACAGCCAAACTCGCTACGAGTGTCGTCATTCCTTGGGTTATCCCCAAGAGCGATATATAGGTCAGGTTAAACTGTTGAATATCCTATTAAAAAACTATTATGTTTAGCTAAAGCACCGTGGACTTTGGCATAGCATAGTAATATGTTTACGGCGCTATAGACACAGAAATGACAGTTATGGCGTCAGTGAGGACCTTGTTTTGATATAATAATATTTGGCTATTGTTTGTTTCTGGCTTCTGTTATTTTATTATTCTGGGTGTTTTACGTAATAGAACATTAAACATTTTTGGGCGGCACTGCACAGCCGTGCTCTATGGACGAACCGCGCGTATGCCAGTTCTGCTGGTGGACATCTTTTGCTAGTTCAGTGCTAGCCTGGCCCACGCATTGACGGTAGTGATCAGCCAGATTGTTGTCGGTTGCTTTTTTTCTGAGAGTATATTTCACAATGATATAGATTGTATCATCTTTTTCAAGGTTATAGATATAATTGATTTTTTTGCTTAATATGTATATTATATGTTTCTATATATTATGTACAGTGGCGTCCAAAAGAAACCAGAAGAGAAGAAGACAGAGAGGATAGGAATAAAGTGAAAAATACAGTGTGTGGGTGGGTGGGGGGTATGTGTGGTTTTTTTTGCAGTGTGTGCGCTTGGTATATTTCAACTGGACGTGCATTCCAAAAAATTAACCCTATTACACTTTAAAATTAACAACAACTAATGCTTTGGTTAACGAAACAACTGAATGACAAATATAAATCAGAACATTTTTATTAGCATTCAGGGACTGACCGCCCGACTGAATGTCTTGAACAGGGCTCACTGGAACATACGAGGGCCCATAGTCCTCGTCTTTTCTTCTCAAACGAACAACTATAAGGGAATTATTGCTTCGAGTTGACAAGGGCACATAACTCTCGCAGACTCGGGAAGTACCAGTAGGTTCCCTTCACGTTCTTGGAGATCTTCATGACGTCATCGCAGCAATTGTCACAGCCGGCACCGACCATCTGATCCAGCATGAACTCAAAGGCGGCCGGGTCAGAGGCAAATGCCAGGAAAAACATTCCTGCGGAAGTGTCAAGTAAAAACAATTATAT